GTCCTGCGAGTTATAAACATGATAAAGCGCGACGCATGTGAAACATAATCTTCTTTTGAGTGCTACACCACTGTAACAAAGCCTTTCTAGAAAGCAAGTAGATTTTTGAATTCACCTAGATTTGAGCTTTTTAACAATTACTGAAAGCTTGATGGAAATTTTTTCTCACCGAAAGATTTCCCCTCAAAGGTAACTGTACGATAGCAGAAAAGTTCCCATATATTAGTGCATCGAATAGTTTGTTCAGTCGACCACCCATCACGCATGCGTTTCGTTGTTGACGTACATCAACCCCGAACTTGGGTACTAGGACCAGGACCGCATCTACAGAATGCAGCTCCAGCACAAAGTGAGGACCTTATCGACCTCACAGGCGTCGGAGAACACTGATCGAGCTCTTGAAACACCTGGAATTCCCAAGCCGTCTTTGATCCAAGTACTAACCAGGTCCAACGTTGCGTAGCTTGTTAGATCGGACGGGATGGTGTGCTTGTACCGTCGTAAGGCCGCTTTCGTAAAAAAAAATGAAATTTTCAATTGAGCGATGAATGCGAGGAGACGGATCGACTTTAAGAAGTGCTGGGATCTACAAGATAGAGAAAGTGATAAGAGTCAAGAGATAAAGGAAAGTGAAGAGACAAACAACATGAAGAAATCATAACATGCATAGAAATGCGATAAATCAATGAGGACACGACCTACGAGCAAGAGCAATAATGGTGCGATAAACAATGGCACTGAAATGGGCCCATGAGATCGACAGGGGCCATGACGGGCGAAACTGAGGGCGCAATAGCGATCAGGCGAGACAACAGAAGGGCCAAGTAACTCGGAGGACCAGAGAGTCATTGATATGCAAAGGTAGCGCTCCGAAAGCCAGAGTAGGTGAGGACCCACCGACGTGGCTTTATATACACGATACCGCCGGGCGGGGCTGATTGACCAATGGCCACGCGAATCGATGGCGTGCAGAGGCAGAGAAACAGAGAAGCAGGAGAGAGAGTGATGACAGGAGAGAGGCAGAGGGGCGGAGAAAGAGGTGAATAGTCCTTGGAGGGTTGCCAACAGCAGCATGGGTATCGATGCCCACACATATCGATAGCACGCAGAGGTAGAGAAGCAGGGGCGGAAGGGAGAGTGGTGACAGGAGAGAGGCAGAGAGGCAGAGAGGAGAAGAAAGGTATGAATAGTCTTGGAGGGGTGCCAACGGCAGTGCGATGCAGTTCTGATGCCAAGAACGGTACATGTTGTTACCAGAGTAACATGGATCAATATAGTACAGTAACTATTCGAAGGCGGTGCGGGGAGGCGCCGTGTCCGAGTGGTTGTGATGCTCGTCGCGGCGCGCGTGGGGCCGAGCCGAATCCCACCCTCAACACTCTTTGACAGCCAGCAATGAACGCCCTATAGAACGCCATAGCTAGGTTATCCTCGAAAATGCAAGGACACTTGCTCAACTAGTATACTACGACATTCATGAAAAAGACGAAAAACGATTGAATGCTAGAAGTGCAGGGAAAGACAGGCAGAGGAAAACGAAGAATAGTAACTATTCGGTGTAACATCTAGTTATGTTGAGTGATATGCAGGACTTTGAACATCGGGCGGGAGTCGAACCCGTGTCTCACCCTTTCGGTTTCAGGGGCGAGTGCTAATTTGCTAATAATTAAATAATAATAATAATAATAATAATATTCAATTAATTATACTAACAATTACTATTAATAATTGCTAATAATCCATGGTTACACGGAACACGCTGGTGATAGACATGCAGATGGTTGGGTCCATGGCCTTGGGAGGGTTAGGCTTAGGCTTAGGCTTAATTTATAGAACCACGACTCTCCACAAGCGTTGACCTACACGAGGATTTAAGACAATATAATATTGATCTTCTTGAAGACAGACCTAGATTACCACCAAACGGCTGACCATAGAGTGATGAGGAGCTCACGTGACACAGTGGAAAGTTTCAATCCCGCTACTTTGAGACATAATAGATAAAATCGACTCGAAAAGCATCAAACACGGCATTCATTAGAAAAAGGCAATTCATGACTAAAACGTATCAATAGCCGACTTCCCTATTCGTAGTGATAGTTTTGAGGAAAGTTTATTAACGGCAGAAAAAGAAGATATCAACAAGATGAGAGCAAAAATTGCTACGTCTTCGCTATCAGAGAGGCGCTTTTCTGTTATCAGACAGGCACCTTTGAAGAGATCTCTTTTGCTGAGTAAAGATGTTCTATTAACTACTTGTGATTGTTCGAAAGCCTGAATATGGAAGAATTCAAAATTGCATATGTTTTCTAGAAAGGCCTTCTTATAGCCTTGTAGCACGCAAGATAGAATTACATTATGCACGCGTTGAGCATTACCGCATTTGTTCTCGCGGGACAAGATTCTCTTCTTAGTTTAACTAACCACTGAGTATAATAAATTGCACAAATTTTGCAAAATGTTTTTTTTCTATGAAAAGGCTTTTATGGACGCTGTACCAGGAAGAATAAGATTGTGTTTCACACGCGTCTCGCGTTATCTAGCGGGCTTCCCTTATTGATTTGGAAATTTTTCTTTATTTCGGAGAGATTGTTGGGTTTCTTGTACTAGAATTGTAAAAGACACTTTGTTCTATCGTTCTAAGGCATATAATTTTCATTTTCATTTCATATTGCCAAGTAAAATCGCTATCGAACCTAAGCCCAAGCCCAAGCCTATGCAGCCTAAGTCTAAGCACGAAAAGTATATGATCGTGCGGAGATCTTCGAGTATGAGAGTTACATGTTTTATCTAGATTCCTTGTGAAAGCAAAAAAAATCCTAAATGATAATGAAATTGCACGCCACGCATGAGCTGTGCTGCGAGGTAGATCAACGGCGCTGCGCGGCAGATTTAACTCTGTCTTATTTACTCTTCTTCTGCGCACTAACACGGTCCTTTCAAAACCAAGCAAAGTTTTGGAAGCGTTGAACTCACGCTGTCAAGTAGCCACTAAGAGCATAAGGGAAGAGCTTTGTTCCGCGAAAACTAGGCGTGCCTACAACACAAATCCCCATTTTTCCTACAAGGCTCTAAAAAACTCCAAACAAAGAAATAAATACAGTTTTGAAATCTACGAGATTCACACTATCAGATGAGTGCTAATTATCTAAGCAAAAGCTTTTTCCTGTGAGATATAAACATGATAAAGCGCGACGCATGTGAAACATTATCTTCTTTTGAGTGCTACACCACTGTAACAAGGCCTTTCTAGAAAGCAAGTAGATTTTTGAATTCACCTAGATTTGAGCTTTTTAACAATTACTGGAAGCTTGATGGAAATTTTTTCTCAGCGAAAGATTTCCCCTTAAAACTACCTGTACGATAGCAGAAAAGTGCCCATATATTAGTGCATCGAATAGTTTGTTCAGTCGAGCCATTACGCATGCGTTTCGTTGTTGACGCACATCAATCCCGAACTTGGGTACTAAGACCGCATCTATAGAATGCAGCTTCAGCAGAATAGTGAGGAGCTTATCGACCTCACAGGCGTCGGAGAACACTGATCGAGCTCTTGGAACACCTGGAATTCCCAAACCGTCTTGGATCCAAGTACTTACCAGATCCAACTTTGCGTAGCTTGCTAGACCGGACGGGATGGTGTGCGTCATATGGCCGCTTTCGTAAAGAAAAGAAATATTCACACGAACGATGAATGCGAGGAGACGGATCGACTTCAAGAAGTGCTGGGATCTACAAGACAGAGAAAGTGATACGGGTCAAGAGATAAGGTGAAAGTGAAAACGCAAAACAACATGAAGAAATCAATAACATGCATAGAAATACGATAAATCAATGAGGACACGTCCTACGAGCAAGAGCAATATAGTGCGATAAACAATGGCATTGAAATGGGCCCATGACGGGCGAAATTAAGGGCGCAATAGCGAGCAGGCGAGACAACAGAAGGGCCAAGCAACCCGAAGGGCCAGTGGGGCTTAATGATTTGCGAGGGTGGTGGGGTCTGAAACTCGGAATGTCGCTGGACGAGGCCACTGACGGGGCCAAGGAACCCGAAGGGCCAGGAACTCTATGATATGCAAAAGTAGGGTTCCGAAAGGCAGAGTGTCGAAGACCCACCGGTGTGGCTTTATATACACGGTGCCGCCGGGCGGAGCTGATTGACCAATGCCCGCGCGAATCGGTGGCGTGCAGAGGCAGCGAAACAGAGAAGCAGGAGAGATAGTGATGACAGGAGAGAGGCAGAGGGGCGGAGAAAGAGGTGAACAGTCTTGGAGGGTTGCCAACAGCAGCGTGGGTATCGATGCCCACACATATCGATGGCATGCTGAGGTAGAGAAGCAGGGGCGGAAGGGAGAATGGTGACAGGAGAGGGGCAGAGAGGCAGAGAGGAGAAGAAAGGTATGAATAGTCTTGGAGAGTTGCCAGCGGCAGTGCGATGCAGTTCTAATGCCAAGAACGGTGCATTTTATTACCAGAGTAAGGTGAATCAATATAGTACAGTAACTATTCGAAGGCGGTGCAGGGATGCGCCGTGTCCGAGTGGTTGTAATGCATGTCGTGGCTCACGTGGGGCCGAACCCCACCCCCAGTCAGCAACGAACAACACCCTATGCCCTATGTAACGCCACAGCTAGGCTATGCACGAGATTGCAAGGAGACGCGCCAAACCAGTATCTTACGACATCCAAGAAAACAAGTACCGCCGTTAACGTCATGGCCGAATGGTTATGATGCTCGTCGCGGCGCGCGTGAGGCAGAGCCGAATCCCACCCTCAACACTCTTTGACAGCCAGCAATGAACGCCCTATAGAACGCCACAGCTAGTTTATCCTTGAAATTGCAAGAACACATGCTCAACTGGTGTTCTACGACATTCATGAAAAAGACCAAAAAACGATTGAGTGTTAGAAGTGCAGGGAAAGATAGGCAGAGGAAAAAGACGAATAGTATCTAATCGGTGTAATATCTAATTATGTTGAGTGATATGCAAGACTTTGAACCTTGTACGGGAGTTGAACCCGTGTCACACCCTTTCGGGTTCAAGGGCAAGTGCTAACCACTGCGCTACCGCGGCTCCTGTTCTACAATCACTCTTTCTCTTGATCATTCCATGAGATAATGACGTTGGTTGAATCATTGCTTGGACAATCCGACTTTGAAGAACACTAAAGCGACGAGATGTTGGCCAGGTAAAGTTCCACAAGAACCGCATTTCAGCTCAGTCTCACTCAGAAATATTGCTTGATTCAAAGAAGGCCGTTTTCTGAAGATTTGCTAGATCATGTGGAAGCGCTTTCCATGAAATTTGGTAGATAACTTGGTGGTTACTTCAACCACATCAACAATACTGCGCAGTAATGCGCAGTGTCTGAACGGTGTCTTGTGAAATTTAAGGGGCCATCAGAACACGTCCTTGTTTGAATCTAATTCATCGAAAAAAATTGTACCTCACCTTCGCAATGCATTTTATGCTCTACTAAGCATACATTAGTCCTGCAATGACTGCATCTCAGACTACTTTCACCCTGTTTCCAGCATATGCGACATTTTCGTACCGCTTACTCGTTCAATAGAACGTCTAAATTTTTTAAACCCAAGGAAAGTTTTTTTAGAAACGCTGCCAGTTCTCGACTGAGGAGCGCTGTCTCTAGTAAGTGGCTGACATACACCTCGTTCTTGAACTCGCTCAAAACGTCTTTGTAGATTCTTTAACCATTCATCAAGCATCAATACGTCGCCAAGTAGTAGATTAGACCTAAGTAGCTAGACTGCGAAAGTGGAACTGTGAAGCAATGAAGCAGCGTGACGCACTTGCCAATTACATGCTTCCCAGTTTGAGAGCTGCAGGTAGTCATTTGGTCGATAAAATTTACATAGCCTTTGCCTTCGTTGTATATTTGAACGACATCAATTTATCTCTTCTTCAGATCGACGGCAGAGCCGTGAACTGTGAAAAAGACCATCGCGGCTTTTATATTCTTCTTCTATTGAGTACCATTACGGCCCTCTTATTTTGCATGCCATCGGCTGCTATTGTCTCAGCTTCTGCCCGATAGTTCTTTGACATTCCGATACGATTCTTTTGCACATTCCGGTCAAACATATATCCGTTTGTAGTAGGCTCAACTAAGGAAGGCAGAGTACCAGCTGTGAGTGTAGAGATAACTGCCTCCATTGTATGTCGTCCGTGCAGCAGTGTCACCTGTATCACCAGTCGTCCCGTTGATCATCAAATGACTCGAGCGGGTACCAGCAACTCTTCCATTTTTCCCTATCGTGTGCAAGAGTAGCCCAGTGGGTCCTCCTCGCTTTAGGGATTCGCTGAGCATCATATCTTTCTTCTATCGCTTTCATGGAGAAATCGGACCAACGGGTCAGTGATCTTCCTTTAGAGCGCTTGAGGTCCCGAGGAATCCAGTCGGTAACGGCTCTCGTCCATCGGTTGTCGTTGAAGCGCATCACGTGTCTGGCCCACCTTATTTTCGATATCCTGGCGTGTAGAACGGCGTCTCTGATTTTCGATCGTTGACGTAGGTCGGAACTTTGGATCCTTTCTCTCATTTGCGAGATACGGGATACTCCTAGCATCAACCTTTCGACTGCGCGTTCTATGTCGCCAAGTGATTTTTCATCCTGCTTACGTAGCGACCAGGTTTATGCTGCATTAGTTAGGACAGGGATATTTGTCGAGTCGAAAAGGTGGACACGGAGTCAGATGTTCTTTGTCCTCTTCACTACATCTTCGATGCTCTTAAACGTTTCCCAAGCCGAAAAAAGGTTCATGAACACAAGAATGATTGTCCCTACATCAATTGATTCATTTCTTATTGATTTAGATAAGTTTGTTGACCCTTTGGGAACGACAAAGATCGTTTTCCAAGCGGCGTGCAATTTCCGTCATTTAATAATGATCTTTTCTCCGTTTTAGAAAAACCTCTCAGTTTTTTTTCTCACTGTAATCTCCATGAGTTTCTCTACATGCTTATACGCTTTTGGACGTACATATATGTAGCATTATTACTATGCTAGGAAACAATACGGTCTTTTTGAGAAGTAAGAATTTTCTTAAAAATTTCCGTTTCTCAACCTATCGAACGATTACCACAACTTTGATGGATAATTTTTTATTTAGTGAAAATTTTATTTAGTGAAAAAGCTAAAGTCATGCATTCCATAAATACACTCCGTCTCCAAAGGATTGAGGAAAATCACTTTTTTACGTGGTCATCATCACTTTGGTCCTCAACGTGAAGGCTCATTCCAGAAAAACGTTTGAAGGACTTAACATCGCGACCTACGGATTAGAACTGAGCGGCCAGTTGGAATATCTATGTTCATGATAAATCATGAAACTAAAGCAGCCACTCTGTTTCAATTTTGTCGAGTTGAAAAAATCTTTTGCTCATTTGAGAGCGCAGTGAACATGGAAATCTGAACAGTCAACTGCTCACTACTCATATGTAGACGTCTTTCGTGAACTATGTAACAACCTTACAGGGGGAATGTCGTTTTTTTCGCATGAATCGTGTGTGATTTTCATATCATTTGAAAGGTCTACTTGCGCATCTGTTGTTATATAATTTGTCTATATTAGCTGCGGAATGAATTGTCCACGGAATAAAAACGTTTGTTGATGCTTTACGAGTACAAATTTGGTTCAAGTGCTGCTGATGCTGCTCGCCGATGCAGTTTTGAGCAATTGGACGAAGTTGAGATTCTATCGCATCCACCCTATAGTCCGGACGTTGCTCCATCTGATTACGACATTTTCCCGCCAATGCGATACTTTAGGAAGGTCGCTGATTTAAATCTTAAAATGAAGCTAAAAAAGCATGACAAAATTTCTTTGATTGAAAGCCGAAAGAGTGGTACTTCGATCTGATCCGCAACCTGGCTTACCGATGGCAAAAAGTGATGGTTAATGATGGCCTATATTTTGAAGAATAGTTGCCGTTGTTTGTTGTCTGAATATATGCATAATTTTAGATGTTTTATCAAACGATGGAAACTTTTTTCCAATCTACTACTCTGGATGTTAAGAAAACACTTCTAAAAACATGAACATGTTGCTTGTAATTAACTCTTCACTAAATCTCAAAGCCTAATCAAAGATTTATCATGTCATGATGATCTCTACAAAGTCCATATCGAAAATGCCTGCTTAACATAACACGTATATCATTGTGACGCGGAAGCGATTTCCAGACTGCCTTCCATCGGATTAGCTTCAGTTGGAGGATGAACTTCTCGAAAACACCAGCTTCCTATGTCGACAGATGGAGATTTTGCAGAACTTCCTGTCGACGTCCCAAAAAAAGTAGATACTTCAATCGCCTAGCTGGTTCTGATCCTCACACATGTCCATACGACATCGGTGCGTTAACTAATTTGACCTTATTCTCCCTGAAGGAATCATCTTCACTGTACAGAGCGTCACCAAAAAGTCGATAATGCACCAGCAACGAGATCTCCCGCTAAGGCAGCCACAGCTACTAGAAATCCGCAAGTGTAAAGCTCTACAGTAGGCAGCACCCACAGCCAACGCAGCAAGAAGCTGTTTCGCTCATGCATTCGCTTTATGCAGCAACAACCTCGACTGAGGACACCAACTATTGGAATCCCATCGTCTTCAACGATATACCCTTTTCTTTCTTTTCCTCCTTCGATTTCTCGAGCTGATCAATCACACTTCTCCAACGTCAATTTCAGATTTCCTCTTTTTATTTACTTTTAATTAAAAGTTTTCAGCTACCGTCAACGACGACTTCCAGTCGTCTCGAGTTTCACTTGATTGAGACATCAGCAACTGGATAGCAGCACCATCTACAATAGAGGGCAACACGCACGTCTCTTCTCCTTTCTTTTCTTTTTCTTGCAGCAGGCAACTTCTTTCTTTATGAAAAACACAAAAAACCGCACAGCGTTTGAGAAATATGGACAGAACGATCGAGCAGCCGACGAGTTCCTCGTCCCGCGGGATGGAAGTACACTAACGGCTGCATTGGATCCACTGCTACCTCTTCATCACACAGTGGATTGTAGTTAACCACTTTCCTGTCAAATTTACAAAGAGCCACTTTCTGAATGTTTCGTGATTAACTGTTTGTGATGCTCACGCTCTTCTGCCAACCAAACCTGGAACGCCAGTTGATAAAGACAAATTGAGGTCTTACCGAACGTACGTCCTTGTCAGGAGGATCAGTGTAGCCACCAAACTGACCAATCACTAAACCTTAGATCACAATGAGAATTAATGATCCCTGGTGTCGCCGCAATGGAAGCACTACAAGGTTGGCAGCTCGGAAGGCGGCGGACTAACGTCGATATTCCCATTGTCCACCATCTTCATTCTTCTTTGGCGACCTCTCTCATAACTATTTGACCTAATCATCTCAGAGAGTTGTCATTTACTATTCAGCGCGCCACCAGATGTTCCTTAAACAATGAAGAAATCAGTTCGTGACTTTTTGATGCTTCCTTCTCATAATAAATGGAAATGTTTTTAGTAATATTATAGTACAATAGAGTCCACTACGGGGGCTACACATACTACAATGCGCCTCTTCCGCAGGAGAGTATCCAGGCAAGATGTACAATCATCTTTCGGTTTGCCATTGAACGGCATTCATTCTGCAATCAGACCTTGACCCTCACAATTCATACATAAACTCCTTCAGTGGATCTGGTGCAAACCTTCACGGGGCGGGTATGGCAGCACCTCATGTGCAGCAGATTAATCGTGTGTCGCAGCCGGTCCATTGTATCTAATTGTCAAATCCTTTTTCATGCAAAGATTCATCTTGTATGCTGACTTGAGAATGGTCAACATTCTAATAAATTCATTTTTTCGTGTCTCTTTAACCCTCTCGTAGAAGTCATACTTATCATTTCGACTGTATTGCTAATATACATCCACGCATAAATTTTGGCTATTATTATATTGATATTAGTATTGTGATGTTTGTATTTTCGACGTCGCTATTTATTACCATTGATTGTGTAATTCCATATTGTGATCCGTTTAAGAATCGCTCTATTAGCTCTCAAACACAAAAATAAATCCACGTGGCAATT